ATATTAAGAAACTAAAAAAGAAACACCATATAATAAGAATATTAAGATCCAAATATTCACTCTAAGCAGGGAAAGCCCCCATGAATTTCCTTCTACATTCTAACTATGGAAAAGACTTAGCATGATTAAGAAACCCCAAATATTAGTGTCTGTATTAGGGGTATTTTATTCAATGTGGTTATGACATTAAAAAAGCAAAGTGGATTTGCTTTTGTTTCTTAAAAGAACTCTAATAACTCAAGATAAGAGTATAGTATCTTCCTGTCTAATGGCTGTCACATTACAAACTCAAGTTGTTGATATATGATTATACTACTTTTGTATCCAAATGTAAAGTTCAGGCGAAAAATGAGCATTAGCTCTACTATGTCCTTTGAGATTCAACATCTTACCTTTGACAGAAATGTTCAACAAAAAAAAGGACTCATTTGAAGCTATAGTATTGATTAAGGCAAAATAATTGTTTAAGCTCAACAAATCTGTTGTCTTGTGTTTTTATCAAGTGTATTTACATAGTGCCAGATGCATATGCTAAATAGAATTTAGATCTGAGACCTCTCAATTATATCCATTATTTCTTACTCTAGAAACTTCTGAAACTTATGGGTGACAGATTTGTCAGAAAGTTCCCTTTACCAGCTAAAGAAAGGACAACCCAATCTCAGTTATGAGCTGTCATTAGCAATTTAGCGGAGTTAGAAGGCAGCTCAGCCAAGTAGACAGAAAATTAAAACATGGGCAGCTCCTGATTGGAAATTTATTCATAGCAGGTAATGATACAGCACAGTCAGGATCTCTGGTATTACTGAGAGTGAAAGATTTAATTCTGATAACTTTGATGATGGCACTTGAATCAGAGATTATAAATGGTGACAGTTTGTGACATATAGATAGGATGAAATGAGCATCAGTAACATATTTCTACAGAAGCAGTTTCTATATAAAATCAATTTTTTCAAACAGGAAATACAATAATTTCAAAAATTATTACAAGTTTTCAAAGTAGAGGCTTAGGCCTTAGGTAAACCATGTACCATTTTCATACATATTTTTCAATGGAGTATAATATTAATCAACATATCAAAGGTAAGGAGGAAAATAACTTATATTTAAAAATATGAAATATAAATTGTAGTTTCTGAATTCATCTGCTTAAGGAACAAACCCAAAACAATAGGCAGACTAGCTATTCTATGGGGAGGGTCATAGTGAAGGCTTGGGTATTCTTGTGTAGATGCATGTAGGGATATGCATTAAAGGGACTTACATACAATATATGTTATTTATAAAGGATATTTATAAAGGATAATTTTTATGTTGGATTTTGTGTGCCTTTTTATATTTTCTAATTATTAATAATGGCATTCTTATTTTTAAAATGAAAAATGTATTCTTTTAAAATTGCCTATATCAGACATAACTCTCTATCACAGAAATATAGGTGAGAAAAATAGTATTTCCACATAGATGGGTATTCCAATATATCTCTTTAGAATTTGTGAAGTGGCATATTCAGTGTGTGTGGTCAAAATTTGTTAGATGGCGGAATTTTAAAACATAGCCCTGAAATTCTTTAATGTTCCTTCTACTGAAAGGAAGAATCCATGTCCCTTGTCTCTTGAATCTGTAACTGATCAATAATTTATAACAAAAATAATGCTTTATCAGTTTCCAGATCCAGACCATAAGAAAAGGCAGCTTCTGTGTTCTGTCCTTTGGGACTCAACTTTTGTGAGATAATGGGTAACCTGTGGAGTGGGCCACGAAGAGAGGAACTGAGGCCCTTTTAACCCACAGCCATGTTGAGCTCCTAGCTGAGAGCTAGGATCAACTATCAGTCATATGAGTGAACCACCTTGGAGTGGATGCTCCACCCCTAAATGACACAGCCTGGAAAAAAGAGCTGTCCAGGCTGAGCTATGGCCAAATTGTAGATATGGAAACAAAATAAACAATTGCTGTTGTCTGAAGTCAATAAATTTGGGGCTGGTTTGTTAAGCAATAGATACTCAAAAGAGCAGAGTAAGGATTGAATAATGAATGCTGATTATGAAACTGCTTTAGCATTACACCACAGTGATGTTATATTTCAAATGCTATAATAGAAGAAAGAAAATGTAAGAGAAAAAAGCAGAATAAATATAATCAGGCTAATAAAATATTTTCAATAAAGTTTTTAATAAATTATACATAGTATTGAGAAAAAATTCAAAAGCACTAAAAATTTTAGTATTTTATGTATTAAAAAATCTAAGTATGTAAAATCTATTTGTTTAAATTTGGTGATATACACTGGCTTTGTAGGATTTTATCTACAGTGTTTAATGATGTCATAATCAATAGTATAAACCCACATAAGGAATACTAATTCTTTAAAAATTGGAAAATTTAGATATAAAATAGAGCATCTAGACTAGAAATACATTTTACATGGAACTATATTTACAGAGGACTAAGCCTATATGACATAACAAAGCCAAAAAAATAGTCATAATAAAAATAATAATAATAAGCTAAAACCATAATATATATTTGCCAAAAATAAGCACCTGAGAATTCATATTTCCTCTTCATTAACAAAAGAAACCACTGATTAAATGAAAATGTTAAACATGTCTTAATTTCTGTAGAAATATTTTTAAAACAATTATATAAAATTCCTTTTCTTCAGAAAATTGATAACTTTACATACTTTGAGAGCTCATGGTATAGAAAAATACACTAAAATGAGTATTTTAATAAAATCAAGAATAATTTTATAACATAAAAATCTACCTACTTAATGTGTTTTTTTAAGACACAGTTCTACAGAAGAATCATTTTACGACATACAAATTTAACCATTTATTGTGTTTCTTTCACAAGGCACAGTTCTACATGATAGAGTTAACTCTTATTCATCCAAATATAAACCAGAAAGTTTGGTTAATTTTACTTTCTGTTCACAAACAATTTTCATAAGATTTACTCAATAATGTAATTAGTGGGGTTATATCACAGAATTAGAACAGGTTCAGTCTTGTTATAAATCCATAGTATAAAAAGCAAAATTCAAAAAAGTGATAAAAATACAAAATACTTTTACAGAGTATTAGCCCCCAAACTCTGTCTCCTTAAAACTAAAAACCTGAGAACCAGAATGATCAATTGATTTGTACCAGAGTGAAGCTAGGCCTGGAACCCAGCCACCTGCTTTTGCCTCTTGTGTCTTTTCTTGTACATTATTCTGCTTCATTTGATATGTGTGATTCCTGTATGGCTATGAAATATACAATCATGTATGATATCAAGAAAAGAGTGAAACAAAACAATTTCTTCCACATAAAAGTCATCTAATTTGTACTGAAAAATTAGAATTCTTCATCTTATCAAAGTATTTGCTGAAGCATTGTTCTAGACTGCTCATTTTCTAGGTATGTGTATGTTTATGTAATATGTAACATCCAAAATGATTCATTATATTCTTTCTAAAATACTTATTATAAAAATTAGTTATACATTACTTGAGGCTATGCTACTTTTAATATGCCTGATAACATATTATCATTATATTTTAACACATGATCAATAATAAATACAAGTTGAACGTTACCTGGGGTTTTTAAAAACGTTTGTCATATCATATTTAGATTTAATCACATAAAACGCCCTCCTATTTAGATGGTAAAAGGCAGATATGTATTTCATCTTAATGAATTATTTCAACACTATGCTTTCGCTTATTATCTTTTGGCTATAAAAACAGTACTTACCATGTATAAGTAGAGATGCTGTTCTGAATAAATAAAATATTTAGCTAATCTATCTAAAACATTTGGCACCATACCTGACATGTTATATTACGCACTAATAAATATTAGTTGTTATTATAATTATAATCATTTAACCACAATCAAAATGTAATATTATTAAGATAGCAAAACATAAGGTATGATTTTTAAAAATAGCCTGCTTAAAACAATGTGTATTTCTCTGTTAAAAGGAGATTTGCTATGGTTAAGTCAACCTGATAAAGTGGTCCTTTAGATATTAAAATTTATGCTTCACATTAATCCTTTAAAATGACAATATAACCGATATTTTTTAAATGGCAAAAGATCTGTTAAACAAATTAATGCAACTTACCATGAATACATGTGCTATACAAAACAAGGTAAATTCTATAAGTATCTTAAACATTCTTCATAAAATTATAAAATGTCAAATTAAGAAATTAAGTATCAGTGAGAAGATACACAATGAATTTTGTAAAATTTCTTGAAATTAATTTTAAAGAAAATATTTCCATATTATATGTACCTACCTGGAATATGCAAATAATCGACTATCCCAAAGATCATGATTCCCTCTAGGTCCAGAATGAAAATAACAGGCATCTGTCCCATCAAACATATTCAATCCATCTTCTGAATTTTTTGAAGCATGGCTATGTACCACATCTAAGAAGACTATGATACCCATTGAGTGAGCTGTGTCAACCAGTTCTTTTAGCTCTTCAGGGGTTCCGTAACGGCTAAAAGTAAAGAACGCAGTAAAATTAAGATATATCATATTTAACGTAAACAGTTAATCATTCACTATGTATCAATTGTGTTACCAGCACAATACTAAACACTTTAAATATGAAAATGCAATATAATACTTAGATACAATTCAAAGTTGCTTAATATTTGCTATTAAGCAAATTTAAAAGTATTCAGTAGAAATTTAAATCAGGCTATTAAACGTATATTTATATACCAACAAAAATTCATATTTTGCCTAGGTACATAGTAAAACTCTGCTTCTCTATACTCAGAGCTTCTGATTTCCATCTCCAGGTTTAACTAGTATTGGGAACATGATCATTCCTGTTCACATACCTGGCCATTGAAAATATGTATGGTTCAGGTAAGGGGGACTCAGAGTTTTTCTCCAAATGTCGTTGGTGCCTTGATTGAGGCCATCCCTCCTGTACTTACTTATTCTTAAACTGAAATGTGCTCAGGCACCACTGGGCCAAGAGGAAATGTCATTTATGTCACCACCCAAGCAGAAAAATGAGGTAGCTCACATGTATGTGTGCTTGTGTCAAAAGCAGTTTTCTAGTCTACATAAAAAACAAAAATCGCTCCCAAGAGGAAGTCCTTTCTTAATCTATGTAAAATCTTGATATTACAGTCTTCCATTGCATCATCTTTGTCCTTTAAATAAATAATCATCCTTATGATTGTTCACTGCCTCTCTTCCTCACTAGACTATATGATCCTCGAGGGCAGGGGCTGTGGCTATCTTGTTTCCTATCCATGGTATAGTATAGTGTTTATAGAGCAGGTTTCCTAATAACCAACTCCATTGGGCAATAAGAGCTATCTTTTAAAAATGCAACTAAGATTATGTCATCTTCTACCTAAAATCATATTTGCACTCTCATTATCTTAGAATGAAGACTAGTATCCTTCTCATGACCTATTACACTGCTTAATATGTCTCCTTTCTATAACTTCAGACTTATTTTATGACACTCTACCCCTTCTTCTTCTTATCCTAGCTACTTAGCCTTTTTTCTACTCATTGAACAGCATGTTCAATAACTGAAAAGTCCTAAAGTTCCATTCATTCGTTCATTCGTTTGTTTAACAAACACTTGTTAAGCTGTTTACCATGTCATGAAATTTTCTATGCTCTGGAGATTCAGCAGTGAAAAGAATAAATATCACTGCCCTATGGAATTTACACTTTAGTTGGGATACAATGAAAAAATAAGCAAGATATATAGAATGTCAGATAGCAATAACTTCTCTAAAGAAAAATGAAGCAAAGCCACTGGTAGGAAGGACAGGTTTGGTATTTTAAATGGGGTCACCAGTGAAAGTTTCATAAGGCAATATTTGAGCAAAGAACTCAAAGAAATAGAGAGCAAGGCATGTCAACAACTAAGGTGAACAACACTCAGAGAAAATGGGCCGTAGGGACAGAAATGAGCTAGGAGCATTTGAAGAATAGCCAATAGGCTACTTAAAATGGTTACTCTGGCCACTGTGCAGAAAGTGGTCCATGAGTATGGAGGTGGAGAATGTAAAAAAAAACAAGAGAAAACAGAGTGACCATTTAAAGAGCTTTTGAAATAATAGAAGTAAGAGATAACAGCAACTTGGACCAGGGTGGTAGGAGTTGAAGCACCCAGATTTTAATACTTTTTGAAGTTATAGGTGGCTAAGTTTTGTGATAGGTTGTGTGTAGGGACAGATGGGAAAAGAGAGTTAAGTATAATGCAAAAGGTTTTTGGCTTGAAAAACTAGAAGATGGAGATGTCATCTATTGAACAAGGGAAGACAGCAGGAGGGAGGACGGAAGGTAAGGTCAGGGATTTAATTTGGGACATGTTTAGTACTAGATAGGCATTAGATATCCCAATGTCAAATAGATACTGTTTGAAGTTCACAACAGAGGTCAGGACTGGAGAGTTAAATTTGGGAGTGGGCATATAAAGTGTATTAAAGCCATAGAATAGATAAGACTTGATGAGAACCCAAGGTGCTTCATATTGACAAAGAAGAGAATGGAACCAAGGGCTGAATACTGGAAAATCAAATTTTCATTAGTCAGAAGGAGCAAAGGAAATAAGGGAGAAACAACAAGAGAGGTGAAGAAAACAATAGGAAAGTATACTATTCTGAAAGCCAAGAAAAAAAAAAGTTCCAGGTAGGTGGGAATAACCAATTGTGCCAAACACTGTTGACAATACAAATAAGAACTGATCTTTGGATTTGACAAGTGGAGGCCATCAGTATCCTTGACAAGAGTAATTACAGTAAAAGTGAAGAGGCTACTTGTAATGAGTTCAAGAAAGAAGAGAAATGAAGGAACTAGAGACAGTAAGTAAAGATAATTTAATCAAATAGAACTATAAAGAGAGGTAAATAAATCAGTGGGGTTTTTTAAATTATGTCTAGAATTCTACCTATTCTCACTTCATTCTTCCCCACAGTTAACTTTTAATCATATTTTAGATCTCAGCTCCAACGTCAGTTCATATCTAATCTAATCTGAGCAGACCTGTGATTCTATGCTATTATAATACCGTCATATTCTTCTTAGCTTTCATTATAGCTAGAAATCATAATATGTACAATTATTGGATTAATGTCTATATGCAGCACAGTGTAAGCTCCATGAAGCAGAAACAATGTTGGATTTGCTCAACTTGTGGTCATTCAGGTTAGCACCTATTCAACTGAATAGGACCCCTTGGTGTCTTTCTGCCCAGAGAGGCACATTCCTTGGATTTCAGCCTGGGGAGGACCGTCCTTCTGTGGACAGTCTATGTCCTAGCAATAAACACTTCAGTCACCTTCCTACACGAGTCAATCTCTTTCCATAAAAAGCAATAATGGCTTCCATAAGATGTGATTTTCTGACTAAATCTTGGGCCTCCAAGTACATGACAATTTAAGCAGATAATTGTGTATTCTTCATTAGAAATCATTTCGCGAAAAACAATGTTAAATCAAGGCCAATCTCTAAGGCTATATGAGAAAAGTCTATGATCTTAGTAAAAAATGCTCAGCTTCTGTTAGCTCTGCTAACACTAAAATAGGTTACAAAACATCATATAAAATGTAAAAATTAATTTTTTTTCAATTTTTTGCTCAAATAAGAATGGCTATAATGAGTTTTCCATTTTACCTTGAAGCTGCAAAGAAGCTTGTGACTTGGTAACCAAAACTGGCATAGTAAGCATGCTCCATAATTGCCATCAACTGAATGCAGTTGTATCCTATATAAGCAAAGGTCAAATAGAGATTAAAAGCAACATTAAAAAAAGAAGCAATAAAAATATACAAACACAGAATTCTTGTTCTAAAGACATTAAATTTTGCATATAATCATTTACATGTAAATGACTTGATCGATTTGAAAAGTTCTACTATTTTACTATCTTTTGCTTGTCTGACCTTCTAACATAAAATTGGACAGTTAGTTCTTGAGAGTTACACTCTAACTAGCTATTTCAAATGTTTTCATTTTAACAAGTAATAAATTATATGCAAATATACTCTTAATTTGAATTTAGAATATTAAGGATGGCAATCTACATATGCTAAACTTCAGTTGCACTTGTAATATTCATACCAAAGATTATGAATTCTAAATAAAAGTAACCGATAGCATGCCTTATACTTTTAATTTTACCCTTTTCTTTATAGTTGTTATTTCTTTATAGTTGTTATATCTTATGTAGCATAAGATATAGCAAGCAGCAAATCTATTTTTCCCCAAGGTAGCTTTTACAGAATCAGCATTAAACCTTCTACTGTCCACTCTTTCTTGAACCTATAAAATTGCTTATATGCCCACGTGTGCATACACACGTATACACACAACCTTCCTTTCTCTATCTGAAGACATTTTGCTTTAACACTAAATTAAATGACTCAAAAAGGTAGGCACTGCCTTTCTAAAACTCCATATAAAAGCATTTACTAATGTGTTTTTAATGTAAGCAAATAATCAGAGAAGAAACTTTCATTCTTTAAAAAAAGAAAATTAAAAATAGAGTTTTTCTTTTTCCAAGTACAATTTGGTAAAATTTTCAAATATGATTTGATTGCTTTGAAAGTTATATTTCTGTAACATACATAGCAAATATTCTTATTCTGTTCTCAAAGTCCATTTTATGTCAATATAGCTTCTCACACACACATTTCAGTATATAATTAATATTGGAACAACTACAAATTCACATTCAGAATTAGTGATTCTTACATTTAAAAAATAACAAACTCCAGGGTTCATAATCTGCTGAAAAGTTATAATTGTTGGCCTTTCTAATGTAAAAACAAAATCTAATTAACTATCTGGCTTGACATAAATATGTATATAAACTACTGCCCAGATAACATAAATCACATATATTTCATAACAAAATATAGTTTGTAGTTGACTTCTTGATTATATAATATCATCCTTATGTTCAAGCACCAATTTATAGTTTTTATTAATCCTATGGCATTCTATTCTATGTTCAGAATACTGGCCTATGCAATTCAAACACAAAGATGAATGAGAACCCTTCCATTAGAACCAGGTCAAAAACCATTTGTTACATTATAAAATGACAGAACATCTCAAATACAACAGTTTTAATATAATACCAATTAAATATAATTAATGTTAAATTCTCCATACATTTATTTAATAATGGTTTCTAGAGTCATTATAAATAATTAAGATCCATATATAACTGAAAACTTTAATCATGAGTTACAAAACTTTCTCATACCCCAAATTTGGACTACCTAGCAAAAGCTGAATGACTACATGTACTGTATCTCCCTGCCTAGTCATTGGGGCAGGTCTTAATATGCTGCGAAATGATTTAAAAAAAAAAAAAAAGCATTACTTATAAAAAGAAAAATAATAGATTTAAAGCATACTGAATCAATAATTCAGCAGTACACTATTTACTCTCCTGGTTGTTCCCATGAAGACAGGATCTATGTCATTACAGTTCTATATACAAAAGTGTCACACACAGAAGATGCACCATAAATATTTGTCAAAATGTGTCATCCACATAAGAGCTATATATACAATGACTCTGATATAATAGGAGTTCCAGTTACCTTACAAACATAAGTTTTTTCCCCCAACAGACTAAAATGAATAGGCTTTAATCAATGACCACTTAAATTGATAAAAGTTCTCTCTTGTATAAAAGTAATTATGCTTACATATTTATCTACAACTTTGCAAGCCATCAGTTCACATTACTTAAAATTGAAATTGGAATAATATCTTGAATTCTTTTGCTCGTCCCATTTTTTTTTTTCTATGCTATCACTATTACAGGGCAAATTGAGGAGCCTAAAATAAAATGCATTTCTATTACATATTTAATCTCTTAACACAAAAAAGAGACACTTGTAATTAGCTTTTCTAATAAGAGAACAGATTCATTAAAATTTTATCTGAAAAAATATCACAGTTATTACTTACCAAGGTCTTTGATTCTCGGTAGTACATTACATGTAAAATGTTTATAGGAAGCTACTTTTCCTTCATAGGAAGAGATTCCCACATGAGATTCATAAATTCTCAGACTTCTTGGCTTTTTTGGTCTGGAATGTTTAAACTACAGAATATAAAATTAAATATCGAATTAGAACAGAACTGCAGGTATGACACTAGCTGATGAAGCATGTTAAATGAAATGGTGAATCAACTGAGTCAAATACTCTGGAATTTTTTACATATAAAAGGCATTGGCTACATCCATTAAATTTTCTTTAAAAAAAAAAACCATTTTTTGAATCATCTTAATGAACCCATTTTAAAAGAGAAATCATGTAATGGCTTATGCCTTATCACTGAGTAAAGATACATTTTGAGAAAATATAACAGCTGTAAAATGCATACATAATTACTAAATCCCAAACACTCATCAACAAGCTCCAAAAACTTAAAGGACAGAAAAGTGAGTTCGAAGATACCTATAACTCTTGTCAATAGGAGCCTTAAAGATTACTCTAATTAATACATTCATGAAATGTCTTCACTATTCCTTGTTCCTAAGGACTTTGTCCCTGCTTCAAACTCATGATAGTGAGAAACATTTCATCACTTAAGTCTTTGATGAATCAGAAATTGTGGTTAATTTTTGTTTTTTAAATCAGTACTCCTTGTAGGTCACTATGTAGAGATTGAGTTTTCTTCTCCCTACCCCAACCTCAGAAACACAAGATTAAAAAAAAACTCACTTTTATATTTTACAGATGATGAATTCTGATATATGTATAGCAAACGGGTACAGCATTTTGTAAAAGATTAAACCAGCAATAAAGAGAAAAGTTGAACATTACTAAAAAAGTTATAAAAGTTAAAATTAATTTTCCTAGAAATATTGGAACAAGCATTTATTTAAAGATTTGTTGTTCTCACTTTATATGGGTGTTCTGGATCCCAGTGTATCCAATCATAATTCACATTATCACCTTCAGGAGCCACATACTTCGCCCATGGTGAAATACGATACAAGATCTCTCCATTTTTACTCCTAATAACTACCTAAAAAGAGAATAAGATGTTATTGCTTTAAAATACTTCAAAACTAAGGTAATACATAATAGTTTATGAGCACTGCTACATATCAGAAAAAGAAGAATGATCTTAAAAAGCTAAACTACCATCCAGATGTGTGACCTTAAAGATGTTTAAATTCCGTGGCTCTTGCTTTCTTCATTTGCTACAGTATAGGGTCCTTATAGTCTCTTCCAATTTGAATATTTTATGATTCTCTGGCAATTTCTATCATTGCAAATCAACCAATAGAGAGGTTAATTAAAGTTCACATACAATAGGTAACAAAAAAAACATGAATATTATTTGGGGACTACTGTCAATAAATCAGTCATCAGGAGGAAATAATCCTACTCTATTTAAAAAAGTGACAAGTGAGTTATATCTCCATCTGTTTCTTTTCATTTTCATAGCAATTAATGATAACATCTTCAAGAAGCTAAAGGAAAAAAATAAATTTTGATTAATATTTTTACTATGCACACACACATACACACACACACACACACTAACAACCTTGCAAACATTTTCTACCTCTTCTCAACTTCTTCAATACCCTATTCCAAGTATGCTTTACCATATAAAATCAAACATTTTCCCTTTTTGCCATCTGCTCCTGTATTTGTCAATAGCATCATTGTTTTTTATCAATAATAAAAAACAACAATAAAATGCAAATAAAAGTTTTGCTGAATCCACCATTTTAAACTTGGCGAACAGAAGAGTTTGTTTATCGGTATGATTAAATAAAAAAGTGAGCTACAGGAATGAAACATCCAAGTGATTAAAACTATAGCTTTTTTTAAAGGTTTTTTTTTTTTTTTTTTGTAATTAAACCTTCTAAAAGTGGGTAGAGAATGACGAAAAATGTTCATATTAGGAGCCATACCATATTCTCAACATTGAGAGAGAACATATTCTTCAGTCTCCTTTAGCACAGAAAAGCTTAAGTATGCATAATTCTTGGTAATTAAATATTATAATGTTTTATAGTTTAGAAAACTTTCTTAGTCATATCTCATTTGATTCCAGAGAATCTTTATGACACAAATATCAAGTGAGATTAAGTGAGTTGCCCAAAAGCCCAAAGTCACCAAGAGGCTGAGTCGAAAGCTGAACACAGAGCTTCTGATACTCACTTCCGTATTCTTTTTTTTTTCTTTTGAGAACAGAAATATATTTTATTTAAACCATAAAGTGGTACTGAATTGATTTAGAAGTATGAATATTGCAATAATGAAGAAATGTAGGTACAAGACCAAGAAAAATTGACTAAGCGAGGCCAATGCAATAAAAAGAAAAGGGGTATAGAATCTACTTAACTATATTAATACAATTGGGTAAAGCATTACAAAATATTCCTTTTATGATTTAAAGCAATATTTGTATATTTTGAAATGATTTGGTACCTTATTCATTACTGTATGTTATCTTTTTAAAATTTCATTTATTTATTTAACATTTTATTTATTCTTCCCCTCCCCCCACCCTCTTCTCTCTCCCTTCTGGTAACCACTAGTCCATTGTCCATGTCCATGAGTCTCTCTGTTTGTTTGTTTTGTTCATTTGTTGCTTTTAGGTTTATATCTCACATATAAAAGATATAATGTGATTTTAAACCTTTTCTGTCTGGCTTATTTCACTTAGTATGATTATTTCAAGGTCCATCCATGTTGTTGCAAATGGCAGTATTTCATCTTCTTATGGCTGAGTAGTACTCCATTATATATATGTACCACATCTTCTTTATCCATTCATCTATTGAAAGACACTTTAGTGTTTTCCATATTTTGGGCATTGTGAATAATGCTCCAATGAACATCAGGGTGCATATATCTTTACAGATAAATGTGGTTTTGATTTGTACTTCTCTAATATCTAGTGAAGTCGAGCATCTTTTCATGTCTGTTGGCCATTTGGATGTCTTCTTCAGAGAAATATCTGTTCAGGTCCTATGCTC